CGTGGTTCATGTTCACAGAACAACAGACATCAAGCAGAGCGCTAACAGAAGACGCTAGTTCTCAAGACTGCAATTCCTTAAAAGGCCACATGGGGTTGGCTCCAAAAGCGAGTCAACCCCCATAGACGCTCATGTTAAAATGTTGAAACTCTGCAGCAGAAATAACATGTTTACTGCCTCGCCTGGTTCATGACAGCCGTACAGGCGGTGAATGTTTTTATTTATCACCTCTTCAAATGGTATTAAGGCTCAACGTTGTGCATCACTCGGGGGCGACCAGGACACTGAGCTTCTACACTACTGATGCTGATGCTGCGCTCACATCACACTGGAGCTCATGTCTCAGATCATTCTGTCACTTACAGATTTCATCCAAGTCGTCACCGTCACCGGGACAACGATGATATTTCTGACTTGATACCAAAAATTAAAGTGCCAGCAAAAGCGCCACATAAATCTGAATTTAACTTACTGTAACAACCTTCATTCACGTGTATTTGCTGGTCTGAAGCTGTTCATGGATATGGTTTGATCTTAATGTGGTGACACATCGATAGAGATGCAGAACAATGCCACCGAGTCTGATCCACGCTGCCGACTGTAAACCTGTGACGACCACACCCTAACACCAGCAGACAAACCAGGGTTAGGGTTAGGCTGTACACTGAACCTGCGTCTACCGCCAGCGAGGGAGGGCGAAGGTGGGCTGGATGACGCCGGTGTCACTAAGCCGGGGGATAGGGCAGGAGGATGCTCCCTGAAGGTGCAATTAGGCTCCGCTGCAGGAACGACAGCAGATAGGGTTCCTCCTCTGAACCAGAACATCGTTACACTAATTAATAACTGGCATCAGGGCGGCTCCGGCACAACAGTAACAACAAGAAAAGAAAAACAGGAAAAGCACAGCGACAAACAGGACACGAGCAGGGATTTGGTGCTGTGGAAACAACTGTGTGTCGCGTTACGGAGACGAAATGGAAGTCCGATTACACTCCAGGTCTAACGAGGTTAATTACTGGAGCAGAAACGTTTCACTCCGTTTCCCTCTAAAGCAGCTTTAACGCACCAGAATGCAAAGCAGCCACAGTATGCTGTACAGATAACCAGAAACATGTGGCCGTCGTGTTTCTGTTCTGCTCACCGGCTCAGGTTTGGTAGTTTCAACCATTAAAGCAGCATCCAGGTGTTTTACCAGGTAGGAGCTCCAACACCAGTTAAAGGACTCTGGTGAAGTCCAACGTCTTAGACACACTTTGTCTTTCTTTACATTGACTCTTTTTTCTTTCTGCATTTTGAAGAACACAAAAATACCATTAAAATGACAAACATGGACTGGATTCATGTGTCCAACGTAAATACCTTCATAAACCTGTAATGATGACTAAAGTCATGATAGTTCTGTTAAAACACATTCACGGCTTCCTTTTTATTTAATAGATGGCATTTTTAATCTCAAGTGTGATACTGAAAAGATATTTCTAAAACTGGACGGTTTGAATAAACAGAAAAAATTATTCTGTCATGTTGAACAGTGAGTCTGTATTTAGAAAGTTCTCACAACATTAGTTATTATCAGAATAGAATAGAATAGAATAGAATAGAATAGAATAGAATAGAATAGAATAGAATAGCACAGATCAGAACAAAATGCAGCAATAAACTCAACATCACAGGTTTCTGATGAAGTTAAACCATCCAGTCAGTTCAGTGAAACAAGAAACTCACTTTGCTTGTTTATCAGCAGGGTTCCTGCCAGTTGTACTTCTACCACAGAGCTGCTTTTAAACACGGCAGCAGAGTGAGAC